AATGAGAAACAAGTTTGGTGATAAGACTTTTATCCTTGGCTTTACTGCTGATTTACTTGAGCAAGGGCTTTTGACAGCCCATGTCATCTGTCTGTGCCTCTGTTCGTCCTGTCTGTAAGATGAAAAAATTCAAGTAAAACTGTTTCCATTTAAAAAAAAGTTGATATTTCTGAATGAAAAGTGATAAAAAGAGCTAAACGTTATAGTTGTCAAAGAAAGAAAGATGCCATCTCTGCAAAGGCAGGAATTTTCATACATTTCCATTGCGTGAATATTTCAATTAAAGAGTAATTCTTGGGGTTCCTTCTGTTCCATCTGTGATCTTAGAGTCCATTTTCTCCAAAATTCTCAGGCAGTTGAGATCCCATTGGCAATTACAGCAGCTTACATTTGCTGAGATGTTTCATCAGAAATGAAATAGAAATAACTTAAATGGGATGATGCTGATTAATCATCTGAGAATCTGGCTTTATTTACAACATACATGATTTCTTATATTCCTTTCATTATACTATAAACATGTCAGATGCAAGGATTGAAAGAACTCTGTTGTTCTGCTGGCAGGATAACTGTTGCCTATTCCTTGGATTGTAATGGGGCCTTTTTCTCAGATTATTTTGGACTGTTGGTGAAGAAGGGGGTCTTTCATCATACATCGAATTCTTGCATTTGATTTCTGGCATGAGGAATTTCCTAAACCTGGCACGTGAGCTTAGGAAAAGTTGAAAAGAAAGTATTCCACTGTAGCTATGTATGTGAACGTGATTATGCATCCAGCAATTTATTTTCTGTATAGTACCAGTGGAAGTATAACACATGTACTAAATAATTATTTATAAACATATGAAGGCTTTACTAAACAGTCTTTAAAATACAATCTTCAGTACGAGTGTATTTATAGAACATGTCCTACAGATACCCAGAGGGGCTGTTCATAAACCAATCATAAAATATACAAAAAATATCACCAGCTTACCTTCAGCATATAAAATAGCATTTAGAAACGAAATTTCAGGCTTTTCGTCCCCCTACTTTTCTCTCTTTCTGTCTTTCTGATACAAACTCACAGTAATAGGCCCTGCCATCTGCTACTATATATTTCTCATGAGTTCTAACATTTTGTTTTTAGAACCTGAAAGATGAGTAAAATGTCAAGTCACCCAGAAAATAATCATAGGCATGACAACTCAAATGTTATCTCGGCTTGTCTGTACAGAAAGTGGTTCACAGCAGCTCTGTGCCCTCCCTCTTTGCGGGCGGAGCAGGCGAGCAGGTACACGGTTGTGTTAGCTGACGCATTTTCGAACACCACCACGAGGATTTAGTAGAAGATCTCCTGTTGATTTTAATGAGAGTAATGGGGCCAAAAAACCCAACAGCATCGCTTTCAAAGTTCGCTCCGTAGAAGGTGAACTTCAGGTTTCCTTTAGAGTTTCGTGTTATTTGAGTGTTATTTGGAGTGTCTTGCTGGGACTGCTGGCCTAAATAAAATGCAGCCACCAGGCAATCATTGAGGCAAGAAGGTGGTAACTACACTAGCAAAATTAATTCCCAGTGAAGAAGTAAACTCTTTGTTGCATTACCATAGCAATGTTACGGGCTTTTTGCTGTCCTTCTCCCTCCTCCCATTTGAAAGCCTGGCTTTGCGACCCTCCCTGTCAGCCCTGTAGGTACAGCAGAGAACTCCTTCCAGGTCATGCTTCTCTGGTGTTTGCTCTTCATTTTTCCCATTCTGTTTTTCAATGATGCTGAGACTGGACTGGAGCTGGCAAGCTGAGAAGGTATTAGAAAGGTACAGGATAAGACCTTCAGCTCAAAAAACCCTCACAGTTCTTAACTTAATTTGGAGGGAAAGAACTGTGCAGCCCGTTCATGCCACCTTGCTGTCAAGCTGCACTCGGGATCTCTTTCATTCAACAATATGTACTGTTAACATGAAAGGTGTGTAGCCATATCATTTGCCTCCTATGTTTTTAACCGTGCAAAGATAAAATTATTTCATTGAATAGGTTCCCAGCAGCTCAAGGATGGTTTTCATAATAAATCCTCTGCTGATTTGCTACCTTTCATTAGAATAAGAAGTCTCCTTGGTGATCTTTGCACTCTCAGCCTGTGCAAAAGCCCTTGTTAACAGTGTTGCAAGATTTTTCTCTTAATATTCCACTTCAGAAGTCTCAAGCTTGTTTTCAATTATCTCCATTCTGTGCTTCATTTTACTCATTCCTTTGGAAAGTCCCTTGTGAACAGGACTTTTTTCAGGCTTTCCAGTGACAGAAGGTGATCATAGAATCATAGAACGCTTTGGGTTGGAAGGGTCATCTAGTTAAAGGCCATCTAGTCCAACCCCCCTGCGATGAGCAGGCACATCTTCCACTAGATCAGGTTGCTCAGAGCCCCGTCCAACCTGGCCTTGAATGTTTCCAGGGACGGGGCATCCACCACCTCTCTGGGCAACCTGTGCCAGTGTTTTGCCACTCTCACTGTAAAAAAATTTCTTCCTTCTGTCTAGTCTAAATCTGCCCTCCTTTAGTTTAAAACCATTACCCCTTGTCCTATTGCTACAGGCCCTGCTAAAAAGTTTGTCCCCGTCTTTCCTGTAAGCCCCCTCTAAGCACTGCCAGGCCGCACTAAGGTCTCCCCGCAGCCTTCTCTTCTCCAGGCTGAACAACCCCAGCTCTCTCGTTGCTGGAGCTACGCTGCTGAAGACGACAGTGGGAGAGGCAAGTTACTTCCAGATCTGAGAGGACCTTAAGAAATACGAGGCAGAACAGTGATGGTTCTTTCGCAGATTTTGTTTTGTAATTAATATTAGGCCTAAGCATATTCATTAAACATATATTCTGGTCTGCTGAAATGGTGAGCAAGGCAAGTACTACTGATGACCCAGAATTGAAACCACTCGTGTTTTGTCAGCTGTGTCAGCAAAATTCAGTTTTGCAGCCCCCCAGGACAGGGACAAATGACTGTCTGTCCTGTTGCTGCACATCAGCTCCCTCAAGCAGCAGCTTCCCTGAGCCAGCCAGAGCTACAAGCTTGGTGAGCTCGCTGAGGCCTCGGATGCAGGACAGCGGAGGACTGGAGAGCGGCTGCGTTCCCGCTTCGGGCAGTGCTGCAGTCGCTCAGTGCGGCCAGGTGAAAATGCTCAGCTCTGGAAAGGCAGTGTTGGGAAGGCGAGCGCAGAGCAGGGACAGACGCACCAGCTGCGGCCTGTGACCAGCTGTGGCGTGTGGCCACCTCTTACCGGGAACGGGAGCGCCGCTGGGCCTGCTGCCACGGGCCTCTCTTGAGGTTGGGGCCCAGGGCAGCCCCTGCTGTTGTCACCCTTTGCCTGATTTGGTCACTGTAATGTTGTAGGTATGATAGTGTAAGGAAACAGGCTTGACAGAGTTTGCAGATGGAGGTTGTACTTTTATTAGAAACAATATAGATGAGCCCCGGAAAAGACCTGAAGAAGAGCCCGTCTGCCCAAAAGTTTCTCTGATAAAGGTGGATATCGGCCCCATCTGTAAAATGGGTCGTACTTCAAGGCACTGTAACTTGACTATGCTATGCCTCTATCTAAAGCTGGACTTGACTTCCATGCTAACATTTTGTTGTCACTGGCGTTCTGCTTAAAAAAATAATTGTAGACAAGTGACTCATGTAACGAAAATGTACAAAGAAACTGTAATTAAATTTATTGACTCATTTTTTTTTTCAGGACACCAAATTGCCATTGAATTTCAAGAGTGGAGAGCCTCCTAGACCTTTAAACCTTTGAAAATCTCCAGTGATTTTAATGTTTTTATGCTTTTAAATACATTTCCCTTTCATAACATGGTTAGAGTTACTAATTTCTGACAATAGTATTGCTTTATTAAAATCATTGTCCTATAATGTATGTTTACTTTGAAAACTCTTTGGCGACCTTTGACGTATAAATGTTTTCCTTTCTTTCAAAGGTACTGCGTGAGTGCGCGTCTCTGAGCGTGTGTGTGTGTGTGCTGGAGCTGGCCATACGCTTCTGATGTTGTACAGTGTCATGAATCTCCAAAGAGTCCAATGTGTTCATAGATTACCAACTATCAAGTGCTCGCTTGAAGGCAGGCTATATGGAGGAACAGGCACTCCAAGTCTCATTTTAGAGGAGGCTTTTTGCTCTTAGTTTTGTTCTTGCTTTGCAAAGTTTTGGTTTGCATTGGAAAGGTAGGTGTCTTTGTTACACCTGGAAAACTGAAGGAGCGAACGACAGCAGAATGTAAGAGTTTGGAAGATAACTCCTGAAAGTAATATGTAAATCTTGGGAGTAACAAATCAAAAGCAACATATTGAAATCAAAGAGTAAAGCTCTATCTGATGAATAATAGCTTTCCCGTTTCTTCCTGCATGCTGCTTTTTTGTTTGTACCAGTTTAGTGCAAGTACATGTATGCTGGCAGCCAGTATGCTAACTGTCTGAGGAATGAGTCGAAATTTGGGTGAATTCAGGATTAAGTTCTTTGTGGAATAGGTTTCATCTAGCTTCTTTCTGTCTTTCTGGATTTTTTTGCATTGCCGGTAATTTTGAAATATGGCTGAAATGCTGTGTATGTGCTTGATGTGATCTAGAGAAACATAATTCTAATAGACGCTGTTCACCCCAGTGAATGGAGCAGTGGTCAGGGGCACAAGAGATCTGAATTTCATTCCTGGCTCTGTCCCAGGTTTACTGAGTAATCAGTGGAAGGTGTTTTCTCTGGCGTGTGCCTTTGTTTACCTATCTTATGATTCAAGGAGTAAACCAGTATTTAATAGCTCGTCATCTTTATGAGGAAAATGATGGAGTTTGCATGGTGTCTTTAATTTTTAAATGATAATGAAAATATCTGTTACTACTTTGCCATATGTAAAGAGCTGTTTTTAAATAGCAAAACCAATTGAAAAGACACATACCTGTAAAAATATTTATATTGTTATATTAAATTTCTGTGCCAGGTGTCGTTTTCTACAGATATGTTTATATGGTGGGTTGTTTTTTTTCAGGCCCTGCTTGACACTCAGAATCTTTTGAGAGCTCAGATTACAAATTTTACTTTCAACCTCGGATTTTCAGGGAAATTTTATCACACAGGTAAGAATGAAATACTAAAATCACTTTCATTTTGATGGTGTTCTTTGTTCTATGAGGAAAGTAGGAATGATGGAGACTAAGGGTCTGAGTAGAGAGAAGAGTTTCCTTCATAATAGGATAACAAAAAAAACTAGATTGTTCTTTCTTCCAGGTTGCTTTGGGACATATAGTTGTGTGATTTACTGAACCAAATTTTTCTCCTAAAGTTACTATACCGGATTAACCTTTTATTTGAGCTGTAGTCTGTCTGGAAATAAACATGTAGGTAGAGTCTGTAAACTCTTTAAAAAAAAAAAAAAAAAAACCCCAGGAAAAAAAAAAGTGCTCATTCTTCGCACAATAGTGCAGTAAGTAGAGCAATGATGTGGAAGTAGGGGAGCCAGGCTGCAGTTTCTAAGGAAAGACTAAGCCCTTCAGAAAAGTATTCTGTCAGACTGTTAAGTTTCCTGAAGAAGAAGAATGTTCCTCCTACTCCTGCAAGCTGGGACATGCAGAAACGGCAGAGTCACAGGGCCAGGAGGAGACCTTGCAAGCAGCAGTCCAAGCTTGGGGCGACAGCTTTCTATAGGTGTTGTATGTGTTATGTATGTGTCATTAGATAACAGTAAAATCAAGCCTGAGGGTGGAATAAACACATCTCTTACTGTTGCTTTTTAATTTCATTCAATTTGAGCTAGCTCAGATGCTCACTACAGAACCTCTCCCAGGAAATGGGGAGAGGGAGGCATGTAGACTAATAAGTGAACTGGATTTTTCTCTGTAGCCATTTCCTGAGCACACAAAGAATTTAGGTGGTAATTTTAGGTGGGCTGGAACATCTTGAGATGTTCCAGTAATTCTAGGAAGCTGCGATGCCTGCATTAGGTGCCAGTGTGGAACAGATTGAATTCCTCCTCCCCTTTTATTAAAATTCAGTTCCTTTCAACCTGTTGTTGAGTGGTAAATTCTATCGATCGAATGAAATTTTCTCTTGACTTCACTGAGAGATCTGTTGAGCTACCACAGTTTATCCTTTTGGATAGTTTAATCTCTACTGTAGAGATATAGCAATATATATTACCCATTAACATAAATTTTATGCTTAAACCACTGTAGAAATAGGGAGAAATAAAAGATAAGGTATTGAATAGGATGTGATATAGAAGAAAGAAGGTGCTCTCTTTTTTTGTTAAGGATCAAACCATCAAACAGAAAGAAAGAGACGTGTGCAAAATAGGACAACATCGGAGCCTGGAAGAGAAACACAAAAGACAACACAAGATAATGTCATAGTTGAGGGATGTTAATGTGAAATGAGGGAAGTGAAGTGACATGTTAGCTGAGACTAGGAACAAAAACCAGATTTATTCAAAACTAAAGAAAGATACAGAGCTTGAATATGCTCGACTGCTGTGCATGTTACATAGGAGATGAGCGTAACTCGTGCTCAGCTGCGCACCTTGGTCAGTATTACTTGTCATATTAAGAAGAGAAGAGGCAGGGAAAGAAGTCTGTTATTTAGAGCTGAACAGCTGGAGAGGAAGGCAGCTGGGGCTGCACAGTTCCTCCACAGGTCTCTCTTGAGCTTAGCAGACTTCAGCAAGGCTTGGTAAATGTCCAGGTGTCACCCCTGCAATTCAGGTGTCACCCGCACAGTTCAGAGAGACTAGAGGTGCCTTAACTTTTTCACATTCAGGACATGACTTCCTCCATCCATTCCCATCCCTTCCTGCCCTTTCTTTTGCCTAGAATGGCTGAGCAAAATGGTCCTGACTGCCAAGTTTGTCACCTGTCAGTGTCTTCAGCGGGCAGAGGTGCTTTCCAGACCATCTCCTTTGCCTCAGTTGACAGTTCAGATGCTTTGGAGGAAACATGCTCATGGCTTTCCTAGTTTTGGCTGAGTAGGATTTGGCAAAGGTATTGCATGTTTGTTGTACAAACTGACCCAGTTACTGGCTGTAAACTGAACGATTTGAGCCTGTCTCCATTACAGCCCATCCCTTGCTGTGGCTTTCTTCCTTTCTTGATATGGGTTCTTCTCCCTGCCCTGGCTATCGTGTGACCTTTAGGCCCTCCTGTCGCTTTCTTTGATAGTGTGTGAACATCACACAGGGCCCCGTGGACTCACATGAAGTCCTAAAATCTCACGATCCTGCAAATATTGATACGACATTACATATGTCAGCCCACATTTTTCATTCACTGCTGTAGTTCACTGAGAGGTAATGAGGAATAAAATCACAACAGTGAAGGTATGTCAGACAAGGTTTGCTGAAGGAAAGAGGAAAAAGCTTAAGGGCATATAGGGTTAGTGAGAGTATGGCCGTATGGATGCAGAAAGCATCGGAGCCGAATGTTTGGCTAGAAGACTGAAAAAGGAGAATAGATGTTGCAAAATGCTGAGAGAGAGAAAGGATTTGTCATGTTGTGTTGACTGTTGGCAGGAGTAGGGATAATCCGAAAAGCAGGCAGCAGGCACACCGTGAAGATGTGTTAAGCTATAGGTTGTCAAACTTAGGCTGACGCAGTCTTTATATGGCAGCCCATTAAGGGGTTGTTTTAATTTGGCTGCCTTTGACAGGGCTAGCCTGTCATTAGAAGTGCACTGGGACTAGGATAAATGTCTGGGCTTGGGGGTGAGAGGGTGCCCCCGATCCGCCAGCTAATTAGACCCTGACGCTTCCCATCCCCAAGGTGCTGTCAGATACCCAGGCTGAATCTCTCCAGCAGGTTATACAGAGCCGAGGCGCGGGCCTGAGTGCCGAGAGCGGGTTGTCATTGCCCTCGGATCACGCGGATGGCCTCTGGAGGGCTCGGGGTCCCGGCCAGCCCCCACTGCCTGCACCCGGGGGAGCAAGGGCAGGGGCCCGTCCCAGTGGGTACCTGGGGAGCGGCTGCTTCTCTCCAGGCTGGGAGGACTTACGAGCGTCAAAGCGGCCAGCCGGCTCGGGGTCGGAGGACAGACCCCGCCACTGGCTTATTTACCGCTGTAGCTGCAGCATGAGGCGTGTGAGAGAACTGCAGGGCCGTGCGCTGCTGCCCGAGTCATTCCTCTCCACTAGAAATGGCCGCAGGGCCTGCTCCCTGCACCACGTCCTGAAGAACAGGCAGGAGAGCAGCTGAAAAGCCAGGCCTGGGGCCTGAGAAGTATGTCAGTGAGCTCCAGCCACCCTTTAAGTCTCTTTAAAGATGCAGATTTCTGGGAACTCCTGAGTAGGCCATGATCAGAAAGGTAAGAATTAGCGGGGAAGAGAAAATATTTCTCTTATGCATAATATTTTGAAAAGGCTGCTGGAAAAGAATACTTACATGTGTCATAGGTAACGAAAGGAAAAGAAGTTTGACTGGGGAATGAATTTAGTTTGAATAAGGAATGCCAGAAAAGAGTTGTCATCATTTTCATTTATACTCTGTCTTAAACTGTCTTGTATACGATTTCTCCAATTCCATCCCTTAGCTACTGGTCATACTGATACGGCACGTGCATGCGGGGACAGCGTTGTGCCGTGCATTTGAGATGCCATGAAAATGGGGCTCTGTCTTTTGCTTGGCTGTAATGACTTCAGGAAAAAGAATATGTACTTGGAAACATTTAAAACCCTCAGTACTTTAAATGGTCATGTTTTATTACGCTAATTTCTTTCTTATATCTTCAACCATTTGTAAGAATATAATAAAAGTAGAGACTTCAGAGTTTGTGGGTTTTTTTTTTTTTTTTTAGGCACTGAGGAGGAAGATGAAGGCGATGACCTGTTGTTGAGGTCTGTAGATGACTTTTGGTGTTTTCCCCACATGTGGAGTCACATGCAGCCTCACCTCTTCCACAATGAGTCGTCACTGGTGGAGCAGATGATCCTTAACAAAAAATTTGCCTTAGTGAGTTATATTTTTGCATTTTATATTGAATTTAGGTATTCAGAAACCATTATTCTTATTTTGTTGGAAAAGCAATCCTTGTAGAATTTGTTTTAATCTCAATGAATGGGGGGGGGGGGG